TGTGTGCCCAGGGTTGCCGTGTCCCAGGTGCTGATGAGACTGCACCACCCCAGCAAGGGAGGGAGGGGATGGAAAGACTATCATCTGCCTCCAGCTTTGTGTCTTGACTGTATTTTTGCAGCACACAAAGCTGAAAAGATCACTCGGGTTATGAGAGGTTGATGAGATCTCATAAGCACGATCAAGAAACACCAAGTCAGTATGTCACTTACTTCTAAAGAAGTCCATGAGGTCCTCAGTGACATTGCCATAGGCTGCAAAAACCCTGCTGATGCCAGGGGGACCAGGAGGGCCTGGGGGACCTGCAGGTCCCTGTGCAGTGTAAGACATCAGGTCCTGGAGAATACCTTGGCCTGAGGAATTAAAGATGTCATTTGAAAGGAGCTCTGGGAAAACTGTGGCTGGACGCTGAGGCAAGAAGGCATAAGGCAGCAGGAAGGGTGAGGGAAGTGAACAGCGTGACACCAGCCCTGGGGTCAGGGGTTGTGGGCTGGGACAGGGAGGGTCAGGAACAGCAGCCATTCCACTCACTCTGCAGGCTCTCTGACACACGGAGCGCCAGCTCGTTGTAATCCAGGGAACCAGTGAAGGAGTTGCTGTAGGATCTGCTTGAACCTGCTGATCTCCTGTGTGATTCCTCCTCTGTCAGCAACGCATCGAAAGACCCGTCACTGCCCATGGAAGCTTCATAAGAGCCATCACTGCCCCTTGAGGCACTGTAAGATGACACGCTGGTCACGGAGCTGCCATATGAGCTGCCTGTGCCCAGTGATCCCCCACGGGATCCCTCAGCACCAAGGGATCCTCCAAGCAACCGCTCAGAAGTGCGTAACCCGTGGTATGATGAAGACATAGACCCAGCCACCAAGCCACTATCTCCTTTGGGTCCTGGTGGTCCCTGTGGCCCAGGAGGCCCAGGTGGCCCTGAGATGTAGCTTCGAACTTCATCACCTGCAAAATACAAGGAGGGGACTTCAGGGACACTGGGGTACCTGGGCCTCCCAGGCCTGGCAGAGATCCTGTGCTACCACCCGAATGAAGAGTGGGGTGTGAAATTCTGTCCCACCAATCCTCACAGTAACCCTCATCCAGTGCCATTTCTCAGGCAGCAGGCACGTCTGTCAACCTTGATCTCTACAGACCACATGACACCCTCCTCTTCCCCGTCTCTCCCACAATTTTGGGTGCCCAGTCTTGGAAACACGCCCAATGATTTTGCAGAAGGTTGCACTCCTCTCAGGCCAATTTCAGCACCTCTGTCAAATGTCTGTTCTGTGACCAGTCTCCCACAAGATCCCCATGTTTTTGAAAGGCTGCCCTGGATGACTTGCCAGCCTGAGAGCTCAGACCAATACTGCTTCACAGCTGGCTCAGCGCTGCCCTCCAACCCCTACATCTTCCAGTGCTCTGCAGGCAGGTGTTTGCCAGAGAAAATGCTCTTCTTATGGCAAAACACTGCAGGTGACCTTGCTGGGGACTCGCTTTTGAGTACAGGCCCTTTGTAACTGCCCAGCGCCTGTCCCTTTTGGCTCACAACATGGACTTTTGCTTTGCAGTCGCAGTGAGAGGAGACAAGCCTATGGGGTGCAGTGTAGTCCTGTGTAGACCTGGCTGTAGAGACAAGGTGTTGCTGCAGCCCCAGTTCAGGCAAGGCTCCCACAGCACTGCCTCAGCTGTGGCAGAGCCAGCAGCCTACGCAGGGCAGAGCATGGCTCGTGTTGGGTGCAGGGAAGATGGATGATGTCCCCTTACTCTTCAGGTACTGGATCAGCTCGCTCCTGAACTCATCACTGTGGGTGATGTCAGCATAGGACAGGAGGCCGGTTCCTGAGAAGCCTGGTGGTCCTGGAGGGCCAGGAGGGCCAGGTGGACCCTGGACTCCAGAGAGGGAGGAGTATCCCACACCTTGAGAGTGAAAAAGAATTAGTTTCTGACAGTGAGAGGACAAGGAAATCACAAATGCCTGGGGATCGTGAAAGTTGAAATGCTACAGCCCCGACTTCCATCTTTTTCCAGCTGATATTGATGAGATTTATTTTTTTTTGTGACCTTGTTCCCAGTGGGCAGTCACAGCCTCTGGTAAACTAAATATCAATCTCAGTCCTCCCCAGCACCCACAAACAAATCTCCCTTCCAGCTGTGAGAAACACAAGTGCTTTACTTTGTAGGTAAGCAGAGACGTCCTCCAGAGAGGTGCCAGGTAATCCAGGGATCCCTGGAGGTCCTGGGGGTCCTGCAGGACCAGGGGGTCCGACAAGACCACTGAATTCAGAGTCTGTAAGACACAAGGGAAGAAAAGGAGTCACTCAAACCACCGCAACCCTGAAGAACCTTCCCTGACAATACAGGTAATGCCAGCTACAGCCAAGTATAAGGTGCTTTTTTTCTCCCCAGCACTGGTGCACCTCACTTGCCTGCATGTAGACATCACATTGGGAAGTCAGGAGATCCCAAAGAGGGTAGAAGTCCCTATTTTTTAAATATGCTTTTGAAAAGTGGCAAAAGAAATTCCTTTATGCTGCAGAGCATGGAGAAGACAAAAGACTCCTCCAACCCCATCCCCAAGACAGCGCCTTGCTGCTGCTGCTCTCCACAGGAGCACAGAGATCTGTCCTCAGCCCCTTGCAATCTGTGCAGGTCGGGGCAGAGCCCAGGAGGCCAGCAATGCTGCTAACTAAGGCAGAGGGACCATCAGTCTCATAGAGGATTATTTGTAGTGATGGGCAAAAGGGGAAATTATGTGACTAAACCTGTAAAAAAAGATCCTGGGGCTCCTTAGGGACCTATGGCAGAGGAGTAAAGAAGTTGGCTTACTTCGCAGGTATGCTGTCAGGTCGCTGTAAGATATTCCAGGTGTCCCTGGAGGCCCAGGTGGTCCAGGGAGCCCAATGCTCATCCCAGAACCTGCAAAATCAAACAGATCCAGGAGTAGTAACTTATCAAAACAGGCTGTTACAGTGTGAGTAGACAGGCTGCAGGGCTTGTTCACAGGCAGTGCAGGAGGGACTCCTGCAGGTAGAGTGTTCCCATCAGCAGATTGTGCTGGGAAGGCAGGCTCTGGACTGGAGTTAACACTTGCCCCATTAATCCCAGCAGAAGGGCACCCACAGACAGGCAGGCAACAGGCCTCTATTCTTAGAAAAGCTCTGCACATCTCTTGAACCCCTGACACAGCGAAGGCAGGGGCACCCCAGGACACGTAGCTTAGCTGTGACCCACTGCCTGATGCATGTGCTGCTCTCTTAGCCACAGAGTATCTTTTTTCTCTTCCAAGTTTCTCACAACCCTTGTGAGGAGCTCTCCGTACATAGGGACTCACACAGTCAACACTGGAAGAGTTTTGACTGACAGGATGAGGTTTTGCTCAGCTCCCAAAGGAAGAGAGGGAAATACACACTAATAGACCATTACTTGTCAAGTAGCTGATAAATCGTCTAGTCAGCTCATCATAATCCAGTGACAAAGACATGCCATCTCCCCCTGGTCCAGGAGGTCCTGGTGGGCCCCGAGGTCCAATTAGATACTGACGAATTTCTTCTCCTGGAAATGAAAAATGCATTTTTTTTAAGACTGTCCAGCTGCTACAAAGATCCCATGTATGAGGAGTTCCCAGCCTGTGAGCTGAGCCACCACCACTATGGAGACCATCAAAACCTGTGGATGCAAAGCTACTTTCCCCACTTGCCCCCTTTTCTGAGTGTGATCTGCCCTGAGTATCGTGTCACAAACATTTGTGACAGGGCTGGGAACCTCCTACAACGTAGGGTTTGAGGAGGATGAGAATTTGTATTGCCAAAGGGACCTCCTTGTGCCCTGTTTCTTCAAGACACTCTGGACAACATCTTGGGTAACAGGAAAAGACCATGCTGAGCTCTGTAGCATTTCAGCAGCTATTTGTGTGTTTGAAATGTAGAATCTGATTGACTCCCCACTGGATCACACAGGTACAGCGCATTGTTGGCCAGCATCATCAATACCTTCAGGCACAGCAAAATGACATCCTGGTGATTTATCTATCAGCCCATGGTAACAGTGTGTGTCAAAAAGAATACAGAGCTGGGTATCCTCCTCACCTTAAGAACAAAGACATTGCAAGGCTTTGGAGTGGGCAAGAAGGAATGGAGAATCCTAAGAGAGCAGAGGAGCTGGAAAGTAGAAGCCCAAAGTTTAGTGGGAGACTGGGGGAAACTGTGGGGAGTTTCTGAAAAGGAGGGAGATGCCATGTATAGAGCCAAGGAGGGAAAAAAAAAAAAGAGTTACAACAGTGGGTATGAAAAGCAAACAAGTAAGAAAGTCTAACTTCTGGAAAGCATGCAGACTCGCCAGTACAAGACACATAAATCAGTCTCCAAAGGACTTGGAAGGAGACACTGCAGGTCACTTAGCAGCACCTAAGGCAAGCCTTTGCCCTCTGAAGCAGGTGCTGGTAACTCCAGTTGGAGTCAGAAGACTGAAAGGGAAGGGCAGATCTCCAGGCTGCTGGGATGTTTTACTCCCATCCCCCATGTTTCCCTTGAGGGTCACTTACTCTGCAGCATGTCCAGAAGTTCTTGGTACAAAATCGATGTAGTTGACACCGAACTGGCAAATGACTGATAGCGATCTGAAGAGCCTGTGGGAATGAAAAGGTTTAATGTTAGGAAGGGTTAAGAGGAGACAGAAGGTGAAGAGGGGTCAGGCAGGGACAAAGGAAAGCTGAATTAATCCAGTTTAACTGGTGGAATAGGCTTCCCATGCCCCCAGCCATGAATCAGTTGCTGTCTCACACAGACTGGTTGTCTCCACAGTGGTGTGGTCTATGCTCTTCTGACTGAGATTCCAGGCTGCTTCCAAAAGCTCTGGGAATTTCATCTACTTCAGGAGGGCCCCAAGCAAACAAGACAGCCCCAGAATACCTGAGACCACATAGACCAAATACAGCCACTTCTGTTTGGGTCTTGGGGACATTACAGGGTCTAACAGCTGTTTAATGTGAGACTTTTTAAACAGCAGCAACTGTTGGTTAATCTAACCATCAAAATGGGACAAAGGTCAGAGGCTTATCTCAGCTGTGCAGAGTCCTGGGCCAAGACTGCAGAAGATGAATAACTGGGTCAGGGTGCTGCTATTTAAAGACTGGTGTTTCTCCTGCGGTTCTCATCTCGTAGTGTTACACAAGCTCAGCCAAGGGTGTGACTCAGTACAGAGCTTACCAACGTGGTACTCACTTGTCATATAGCTCATGACACGGGTAGCCAGCTCCGCATAATCCAAGTTCGTCCCATCTATGGTGGTGATGACTCCAGGTGGGCCTGGAGGGCCTGGTGGGCCTTGGGCACCAGTCAAATAATGCCTTATGTTGTCACCTAGGTAGGAAGCCCAAGATATGCCCACATCACTAGGGGGAAGACAATGGCCATATGCACAATTACTGGACCCTCCTCCCCTGGCAAAAAGCAGGAGAGTTCTGCAGAGGCCACAGTGGGCAACAGCACTTCACAATATTCCATAGAAACAAGACCAGAGAAGTAGGGCTGCTGCTTCTAAAGAGAAAGTGACAAGAGGGTCAGGGAGCAAGAGACAGGCATGCACCTGCTGATCCATGGCCTAATCTCATTATACTCACTTTTCAGGTAGTCAGTGACATACTGCTGAATCTCTTGCAATGAACTTCCGCCTGGGCCAGGAGGACCAGGTGGCCCAGGAGGTCCTGGGGGTCCCTGAATTTGTCTGGATCCACCTACAGAAAGCATTTTAAGGAGAATAAATATTTTTGGCACAGTTGCATTAGACCAAGTGATGCTAAAATGTGCTTGCACTGAGCCCTTCCCACAGGTCTGGAAAGAGCTTTGGGAATGGGCTATGGAGGGGCTCTTCTTCATCTCTAAACACAGTCTGAGCATGGGCAATTAGGCAGTATGATGTCTTCAATTAATTTGGCATCTTATAATTCAGCCTAGGCAGCTCTGCAGGGCTGAGTTCAGAGACCCCCCAGCTTTGTACTGACAGACCTGGTCAGTTTAGGCACCAGAGTGCAATGTTGTGCAGAAACAGACATAGAGCCATAAAGCACTCGGGCTCATTAGTCTAACCTCACTGCCCTGCTGCTCCCAACCCCAGACAGCTTGGGCAGCACCAGCTCAAGAACGTCCTCAGTGGTCTCCATTGCGAGATACAGGTGGGCCCTACGTGACTCCTGTCACCATGGTGTCAAGTGACACCTCATGCTCCTTAAGGTGTTTGCCATCCCAGCACCCTGAGCTAGCATTCCTAGGACACAATGTGGAGAAGCAGAGGGCTGGTTCACATGGAAGGACACTTCAGTTAATCCATATGCACTTTTTGAAAAACAGCATTAGCATCCTGCATAGAGAGATGCTCTTCTTCAGAATGAAAGCAGCTGAATTCACCTGAATCCACCTGACGTCAAGTAAAACTGAACAAAGGGCACTTTTGTTCTGATCAGAAGTGTTCCCACAAGAGGGTTCAATGCAGCTTCTCTAATTCCTTGTGGTTAGCCAACCAGGAAACTCTTTCTTACATGTTCCATAAGGACAAACTCTGGCTCAAAAGATTCCCAGTAAACTGGAAACAGAAAACCCGCAATTCTTAAACTGTCTGATTTAAGGCAGGCTGTGAAAAAAGAGGTTTTGAACACAAATCCCATCAGTGTTAGGCTGGCACCTGCACTTGTAAAACCCAAAGGAGCTGTTTCAAAATGTCCACCAGGATGTCAGCATTTCTTGAAAATATCAGAGCAATGATGGTCTGGCCTCTTACCTCGAGATGTTCCTGGGATGCCAGGAGCGCCTGGAACACCTGCATCACCTGGAAACCAGAGTGAGGGAGACAGATAATTGTAATAGGTGTCACTGCATGTTGCATACTTGGTTGTGTAAAACAGTTGAGCTAGGTGTTGGCAGAGAAGCAACCACCCATTCCTTGTATTGACTATCTTGAATTAGCAGCTTGTTGGGGAAAAGCAGAAGGAAGAGGCCACAGCAGCTTTCCTGAGCCATCTGTGATCTGTCCAGGTGCCTTGTGCTCAGAGCAATTCTATTGCCATGGTCCTGCTCTGCCTGAAAAGGCAGAGGTGAGCACAGCTGTAGTTCTCAAAAAGGACCAAGTTGCTCCAACCTTTAGTCTCAACCACTCTTGGCTGTGTGAGGCCACCAGCAAATAAAGAAAGAAGATTTTAAACCTTACCTTTGGGTCCAGGTGGGCCTGGCGGGCCTGGAACTCCTGGAGGTCCCTGTATGGTGACTCTGTCACCTGCCAATTGCAGAAGAAGAGTCAGAGATTCACAGGAATATAATGTGTGGACAAAACCCTGGCTCTGCTAAAACTAAGTTAGAATCAATAGAGCAGGATTTTGCCCCCTGGTTTCAGCCCATGGCAAATGAATTCAAAGGAGGAAAGGGGGCACAGACTGACCATGGGAGGAGAATGCTGGAAGGCCAGGCTCACCCGGTTCTCCTGCATGGGACACAGAAAGGGAGGAGCAGTCATATACACAGGCAAGCTACACTTCACCCCACTGATATCTCCTGGAAGCCTCCTTACCCGTGAATCCTCGTGGACCTCGTTCACCTGTGAACAGAGAAGCAGGGGGAACAGTGTTAGCATTTGCTTCCTTCTCACTTGCAACATCCCAGCCTACACTGCAGAATATTATCGTGGCCTTCAATGTGCAGGGCAGAAATGGTTAAAGGGAATAGGTCCCATCTTTTCCTGTCAGCTGAGAGCTGAGCTCTTCTTCACAGGGCCACCTCCTTGCATTGACTTAGCCAAGTCCACTCTGCATTTTGCAAAAAGATTGTTCCCCTTTAATGGCAAATTTGAAGCTCTGAATGTTCCTGAATATAATGGGCTTGCAAAGTTGGGATCTGAACACAGCGATCGCCTTGATAACACTACTGGAGGCTAATAAAATTTCTCCGACAAAGAATCATAGAATCATAGAATGCTGTGAGTTGGAAGGGACCCACAAGGATCATCAAGTCCAACTCCTGTCCCTGCACAGGACAATCCCAAGATTCAGACCATGTGTCTGAGGGTGTTGTCCAAATGCTTCTTGAATAGTCACGCCTGGTGCCATGACCACCTCCCTGGGGAGTCTGTTCCAGTGCTCCACCACCCTCTGGGTGAAGAACCTTTTCCTAATGCCCAACCTGACTTCTTTTATGGCAACAGACAGGAGTCTTATTCACTGACCACTGTGCTAGCTTTCTTACAGCCACAAAAAGGCAGGACACTTTCTGCTTCCAAGCCCTTCCTTCCTTCTCTTCAGTCTGAGGTGCTGAGTTCCATCTAGCATCTTAGCCAGGCAGCAGGATATACCCACCTTGGTCTCCCTTCGGGCCTGGTGGGCCTGGTGGACCTGGTGGGCCTGTGAAGAATGCTTCTGTAAATAAAACAAAAAGGTTTCTTCATGACAACCAACAGAACACGACACAAATTTCCTCTGGCTCCACCTGGTGCTATCCAAGATGTGCTCTTGGAACCCCAGCAGTCAGGACATTCCCAGGGCACAGGCGAGGGAATGAATGAGTGGGAAGAACACACCTGAGGTGGACATGGAAGATCCTGGTAACCCTGGTGGGCCTGGAGGTCCTGGCAATCCTTCTCCTAGGCAAAAAGGACACAAACAGGGTTCAGGAGGGATGAGCCTTAGCAATCTAAGTAAATGCATGTCAGAGCTGCTACATCTCCAGCCATGGCCATAGCTCAAATATTTCCAAGTGTAGGCTAGTATCATTGTTTTCTCCACACACTTATCCCTGTCAGTTATTTTTCTTTATCATTTGCCAGCACAGCAGAGAAACTCTTTTCTTTGTAGCAAAAAGTGCCTATCCCAGCTGACCTTCACTACAGTGAGAGGAAAGGTTCATTTCATCACAGACCTGACCTGCTCCCCTTTGCTACTGAGCAGAGAGCAAGGAATGGGGTTACGGTCCTGGCTCATGTCCTCCTGCACCTCCTCTCTTCTGGCTGTGAAAGGGAAATCTGTGCTACTGGAAGCAGAGTGGGGATATGTTCCTCATTATAAGAACTGCTCCATCTGTCCCCAGCTGGAATTTAAGACTGGACAAGTAAGAAGTAAAGATGGAATTGACTGCAGTTACTTCCTTTGGGGACTTGAGAATGTTGAGTGTCTCCTCAAAAAGTATGGCTTTTATGAATTCCCACTCTGGCTAGCAAGCCTCTGCCAAAGAAAATCTCCTCTCTCGGGCAGTGTCTTGCTGCTGTGAAACTATATTGCAGTGAAATTGTGTTAGTAGGAACCCACTATGTGAAATTCTGCTTCCAGTGAAGTCAGCTCTACTAACTTCCACCAGGTCCAAGACTGCACCTGGGATACCGCAAGGCACAGCACTGGAAAAACCTCCCACTTTCCAGGTTTGTTTCAGAGAAACAAGCTCTTACCTGGGGGGCCACGAGGTCCAGGGGGTCCCTGCACAGATTCACCTGATGAAGAAAGAAACAGAGGTATTACAGAATATTTACACAGCAAACTGCATGGCCCAGAAATGTGCCATGTGTGTTAGTGTCTCCCTGCTTATGTACTGAGCTCTGCTATATTACGTACCTGGTGGTCCAGGGGGACCTGGTGGTCCTCCTCGCCCTTGTAAATCTGCCAGCACTGTGCAAATGGAACACACACAAAAAAGGGAAAATTGTTGCTATGGAGCTACTGCTGCTATGGAAATATTATCCTTACGTTGCTGTTAGAAGCTGTTAGAGTCAAAGGTGGACTAAGGCAGGACCTGGGTGACCTAAGCCAAAATTGAGGCAGAGAGGGGAGAAGATGTGGTTAGTTGCCAGCGTGCAGGTTAGAACATGAAGCAAAATACAGTGTTGAGCAGGCTGGCAGCCTGGAAACAGGTAAGAGATCTCTCTGGAGAGTAATGGTTGCTGAGGGA